ACCCATGCTCCCACTCTAGTTCCTGTGTCCTTGCAGGCCACTCTGTTACTGAAGTCAGGTCTCCACCCAGTGTCCCCACATCAGAGAGGCTTCCCTGGCCACCCTCACTCCCACACACTCTTCACAGCATTCATCACCACCAGATAGGTTATTTATTCATTTGCTTATGGTTGTCCCCAGTTCTTTACCCTCTCCCCCAGAACCACAAAACTCCAGGTGAGCAGGGACTTTGTTTTGGTTACTGCTAAACCCTTGGCACTTAACATCTAGCACATGGTAGAAACTGATCAGGTGTTCTCCCTTCACACACACAATGCCACAGGTGAGCACTACTCAGCCACAGTGAAGAGCCGAGACAGCCCACAGGGAGATAAACTGAGATCAATACAGAAATTATGCAGAGCAGGCTCAGGTATGCGGCATGACTGCAGGATCCTATGAGAAGAATCCCTAGCTAGAAATTTCTCTAATGAGCCTATTATGATGTCTATAAGTCTGCCACGAGAGCTTAGTAACTGCTGATGCCTCCAAGTATACACCTCAGAGCCAGAGTGCATCTCGGGTGGCAGCTGAGGTGGCTCAGCATGATTATTCAAGAACAGCTCCACAAGGGACAAGCTGAGCCCTGGAGCCATAGGCAGGAGGAAAAGAGACCAGCCAGAGCCCTGAACACCGTGCCAGTGAGGAAAGCCAGGCAGTCTGGGTCCTTGGAGAAAACCTGCTGAACAAGTGACAGTCTCAGGACAGCCACTCCAGCAGGCTCAAGAGCTGAGGTGTCTGGTGCTCATTACAGGAGGCGCTGAACTGTGTCCCAGAGATCTGACCTTCACTCTTGACAGTGGCTAAGAATACATAAAGCAAGAATCAAGAGAGGGAGGAGAGAAAAACAAAAAAACCAAACTCCCAAGACTAAAGGAAGACTGGGGTAAAAGGCAGGGTTACTAGGCAGACTGGTAAGTGAAAATCTTGGCAGAGACCCAGTCCCACAGCCAGGGCCAACCTAGGGAAAACAGGTCCCATGGCCCAGAGGCTAAGTCTCACCAGACAGTGCGGCTGGGGTTGCGGATAAACCTTTCCAGATTCAGATGAGCCCAGGCACTGGAGTGAGTGGTCAGGACAAGCAGGACCCACAGGGAGTGGGAAGCCAGGCAGGCACAGGCTGCTCACACTCACATACCACACTGTCCCCATCTCCAAAAATGATAAGACAGGAGTCCAGAAAGGATGTCCAGCTGATCTAATATCTAGTATGTGACCTTGGTCAGAGAGGGACATGCTGTAAAGTGTTCCTTCCACAGTGTCAACACAGATTAAGTCATTTTATCGTCAGAATTTCCCTTTTAAAAGGTAAGAATCCTTATAGGGTAAAAAAAAAAAAAAAAAAAAAAAAAGTCATCCATTTATGTCTTACTTTTTTTTTTTTAATTAACAGAGATTGGAAGACCTAGGCAGATTCTGAAAAAAATCAAAGGTTTTAGTTTTTTGTTTGTTTGCTTTTATGTTTTAGGATTCCCTGGGTGTGTGTTGTGGAGGCGGTGTGGAAGAATAAAAGGAGAACAAGATACAGTTCACTAAAGAACTACATCCAGCACACAAATAAGCAACTAACCAGGATTACCACCCCCCCCAAAAAAGTCTGAGCCAGTTCAAAATTGATAAATGAAAAATAAAAATTAGATAAACAAAGGGAAAACCAAGAATCTGCTAGAAGAACACAAGAAAACTTAAAATCAATTCATTCTTAAAGAGGATCAATCTCTTGCCTACAGAGAAGGCCATTCCTTCTCAGGTTCTCAAGGCCTCTGAAGAGAAGGCCAAGAAATCCATACAAACAAATTAATGATTGCAACCAAAATGAGTGAAAAGTAAGAGTCGGTGAATGCATATACATTCAGAAGAAGCACCACATTTTCCCACAAGTCCAGTTCTTCAAAGATCAAAGATGCCACTACAACAATGTAAGTGGCCTACTGCAAAGCTTGTTAAAACTCTGTTACAATGCTGGAGAAGCCCTGAGGTCCTAGGAAATAGCCTTCTGGGTTTATCCGCTTTTTTCCAGAGACATTAAATTGGAAGGAATTGTACCTCTGATAGTCATCCAGAATTTAAAAAAAAAAAAAAAAAAAGCAATAAAAAACAAACAAAAAAAAACTGCCTAGGTTTCCAATTCATTAAATTCCAACTTAATTTAAGATTTAAAATATTGCTATGAAATTAATTACTTTAAACATTTAAATATATTTTAATGTCTCAAGCAAGAAAACTATTAACTGTCAACTCCTTTAAAATATATCATTTCTTCCATCTTTCCTACACATTAAATATCTATATATACATATCCACACATTTACCACTAGAACCCATAACATACTATATTCTTCAACGACATGCAGATTTTAAAAGTGATTTCCATGATATGGAAACTACAAAGTGAGGAAGAGAAAGAACAACAAACCCCAAATTCAGGGTTTACCAGTGAGTGAGGGTTAAAAAGGAGGGGACCAGAAAGAAGCACCAGAAATTCTCAAAACAATTGTCATATTTTTCTTAAACTAAGTGATGAGAAGACAGATGTTTACTTTACCTTATTCTTCAAATATTACTTATATTTTATAATATTATTTTAAATAGTCAACATTTAATAAAAACACCTATCCAAAAAAAATGATTGTACGTAACTGTCATGGTGGAAGGTACACAGAGACATACATAAATCAAATCTCTGCTTCAGAATACTTTTTTCAATAGCAGTGTTACTCAATAAAAAGGAAATCAATTACAAATACTGTTTCTTTCTAAGCCACACTATCTCTCCATTTGACCCCTTCTACAAAATTAACAAACTTTGAGGAAAACCTTATATTTCTAAACTTTAACACATATATATGCACAGTTTTTCTCCACTATATACTGCTTCATTCTGCTTGCTTTCAAAAACCTGTTTTTCCCTCAGTTTCTCTATAACTTTCATATGGTAGAAACTGTCTTAACTGCTTCTTGCTGTCTGAATGAATCTGAGGAAATGGGGGTCACATTTCCACAAAAGAGGTGCAGCAGTACTATTTACATCACCTATAATGATCATTTAATTAAATGTTTTGATAGTGAAAGGCTTTCAATTCCCCTGGTTTGTTGTTTCCAACTCTTTGCTGCCAGGAGGAACCTCTAAGTCAAATATCAGGAAAGCACCAATAATTTTTTAACATCTCTCCAATCCTGAGTTATGTGTTCTGCTTTCAGTAAATTAGTAGAAACATCTTAAGATACATTAGCCTGGATTTGTTCAGACAGCTAGAGCATTTAATTTTGTAAGCACAGTCCATGCTGAGAACATCCGTGGTCCTCCAAGGCCAGCCATTTTCAGTATTTCAAAAAGCCTAAACCATACTTTACATGTAATTTAGTCAAGCTAGGAATAAAAACATTTTTGATTTTTCCACTGAGATTTTTATCAGTCTTTCTAACTGATTATCTCATGCTGGTCAAATATTCAGACATATGTCATTAATGAAAAAAGAAGAATTATGATTATTTAATACTATGTGGTCTGGAAAAAAAATCATTCAAAAGATGACATAATAAAAATAAAAGCAATAAAAGTGGTCTCGTATTAGTAGCATATTTTCAAACTATACTCGTATTTAAAAACCAGCAACAACAAAGTCTAGGGACCACTGACTTGGAGTAGTTTTAATTATCACTGTATCAGAAACTCCAGAGGATGTTGATATATTAGCTCTGCTAAGAAAATCTATAACTCAGTTTGGACTGTCCTTACAAAATTAAAACCAAGCCAAGTATCTAAGACATCTCTACCAATTTAGTGAAAGCAAGACATAAATGCAGGATTGGGAAGATGTTAAAAAATTATTGGTGCTTTCCTGGTAATTGATTTAGAGGTTCCTCCTGGCATAGTGGGAAACAACAAAACAGGCCAACCGAAAGCCTTTCACTATCAAAATACTTAATACAAAAAAAGATCATTTTGTACTGCTGTACATCATGAGTAGAAGCATAATTCCCATTTTCATTTCTTCAGATTTACTTAATTTTCTGTTAAAAATCTGCAAGTCAACTTTCAATTCTCTTCTAAAATGTTATTTCTTTTTGCCACATGCCTGCACCCTAGTTACCAAGAGACTAACAGCAGGAGGATCACAAGCTCAGGGGGCCAGCCTCGGCTGAGGATGTACTTCCATGGTACAATGCGCACCTGGCATATACAAAGTCCTGGGTTCAATCCCCAGTACTGAAAAAAAAAAAATTATCATTTTTAGTTGTTCATTTCTCTGTTCCTCGATCTTTGTAAAAGGTAGAAGTGATGAGAGCTGTTAAAAAGGAACAAATGTTTCCTACCGCATCTTCCTGCCCCAAGCTAGGCCAACAGCACCAGAACTTTTTCTTTTCTACTGCTTTCAATTCTTAAAATCAAAATGAGACCCTTCCTAAAGTATTGCCCTTACCAAATTAAATACTACAGATATCTGAACAGAGCCAAACCAAAAAGGACACTTTAAGTCAGTCAGTCTTCAAAACAATCCCCTTTGGCCTTGCAGGACAGCCCAGGGGACAGGTGCAGGGCATGCCTTCCTAGAGGCTGTCTCCTCCTCCATGAATCTGACCTTTTCCAGCTGGCAGCTCTGGCACCCCACAAATCAATTATCAGCAGGCCAAAGCCTGCTTTCCCATCTGCACTTTCCAAATGGCTCCTGATGCCAGGAGCTGAGATATGACCTGGCTCTCTGATGAGAACATGCCTCCCAAGTGACTTGCCAAGTTTCCCTGGAAGCATTTCTAAATGGACTCTGAGCTCCCTCCACAACCTCTCAGTCATGGTCCATTCTTCCAACTCCTACATTGCCACCTCCTCACCCTATTCCTTCCAAACTCTTTACTCCCTTGCATGAACCACTGACCCTTGCCCACATTAACTTCCAATCCAAAAGGTGTAAGTGCCAACAATTTCGGAGCTGGTTTGAAGTGATCCTTTGGAGGCCTACCTGCAGGCAGCTCAATGACAGCTTCTTCTCTTGCCTTCTCCAGCTTCTCCTTCACCCAGGGAAACTCCTGCAGGGAATCTAGGAAGGTATCAAATGCTTTTGGGCCCCTAGAGGGGAGGATATCCAGCAGCAGCATTGTTTTCCTGAGGCCTGTGGCTTGAGCTTTGATTTCTTGGACATGGTTTTCTGTCAAGATTCCTTCCTGGTAAAGGTACTGAAGAACCAGTCCCTCCACCAGTACCTCTGCACCCAGCTCCAGGCGGAGGGAGCGGAGCACTTGCTTGTCTCTGGCCTCCATTTCCCCCTGGAAAGAGACAAAATCATGGCTCAGATTATAGGAATGCTGATGCACCCCTAGAGGTAGTTGCTGCAGTGTTAACTGGCAGATTTTTGAAATTTAGCATGCTGAATATCAGGCCCTGGTGTTTACTACAAGGCTGTTAAAACAAGCCAAGTTAACTTCAGATGCGCCCCAACACAGGGAACAACAGTGGAGATGAATCATCTTTTCTGTTTCTGCTTTTTACATAATGAGGTCCTCTTTCCATAAAGAGATCTGACCAAAAAGCAGGCCAGAGACTTTGCTTAAAAAGTCTTAAAAATGTGTATGCAAGGATTACAAAGCGGCATTTTATTTTAACACATTTTAGAGAAGAAATGGTGTTTTTCTCCTGACAGTGCAGAGATTGCCCGCCACCATCACTGCAATTTTCCAAAAATGACCACGGGCATTTGCAGAACCTGACAAGCAACGGGAGTGGAGGACAGAAACCAGAGGTACCAATGAGTTTAAGGATCTTTTTCACTAAGAGAAAAGGCCTTTACACCATCGTCACTTACAAGCAATATATTTATTGCATGTGTCCAGTATACAATAAACCTTATGCAGTCCGAATCTCCATCACTGCACTGCCCTGGCCACACACGCACGGGGCATTTAGTGAGTTATTCTCCTTAATAATAATAATTTTTAAAAGGCCACACGCCGACACTGGTCAGAAGCCACCCAGGTTTTGAAGGTCGCTGGCGACTGAGGCGGCTGGGCGGTGGCGACGTAGCCTGTGTGGCGCGGAGGGGGCGGACGGGGCTCCCAGAGCCGGGCCCCGCGCTCCTCAGCTCCCCGGGGCGGGGGCGGGCAGGTGAGGAGGAGGAGGAGCGGGTCCGTATTTGCCTTCGAGCGCTCATTTGCAACTTCCAAAAAAAACCAACCCTCCGGGCCTCGGCAACTGAGATCTTTAGTGTGTCACACACAGCACGAACTGTGAGAGATTTTTCGGGGCAACGTGAACCGCGGAAGGATCTTCACAGCGGGCCGAGGGGAGAACGGGACCCGGCACCGCCACCCCAACCCTGGCCCGGCTCAGAAACCAGAACAAGTTAAGAAGGCGAGAGAGCCACCCAGGGCCCAACGCCACAGCGCGGGGCATTCGAGAAATTTAAAAAAAAAAAAAAATGGATTCCTGTTACTTACGTCTGCAAACACGTAGCTTTAAAAAAAAAAAAAAAAACTACAACCGGAATCCAGACTGTTAGGAAACCTGTACCATAAGCACCATCTTTGTTGAAGGCGAAATCCCTAAACAGGAAGTATTGCCGCCATCTTTGTTGAGGGCAAGCACAGGAAGTGCTGTGGCCATAATTTTTGAGGGCTCCAGGGTCAGTTTGAAGTTTTTCCTGCCATGTTTGCTGTGGGTAAACAATACGCCCGCCTGAAATTGGAAAACAACTTAGATAGCCTAGGAGTAAATGGGTCATTGCATCTTAACACAGTTAACTCCACCCGGGCCTTGCACACAATTGCCATGAGAGGCAGGTCAAAAGTCACTTTAGCAGCAAAGTCTTCCCTGACTACTGCGTTTAAAACGTCAACACACCCACATTTATCTAGGCTCCTGTCCTTTCCAGCTTTATTATTACCTATAACACATATCATTGCTTTATTACAACTTTTTTTTTTTACTTATTCATTTAGAATCTGTTCCCCACCTCTAAAATGCAAGGTCATTTCTTGACCTCAACAGGGTTTCTGGCCACAGAACGGACAAGACAGAGGATTCCGTGGCAGCAATCAGCTAGATACTCTAGACCTAGAAGGAATGGGAGATGCTCAGAATCACCGGAAAGGCTGGCGGAGGGCTGAGGATCGAAGGATGACTCTGCAGACAACCCTGCCAAACCAGCTCTTGGCTGCAGTCAGAAGATGGACTCTGGAAGTTGTCATTCCTGTCTCCAACCTCCTCAACAGTGACTGAGCAATTAAATGAGCACTGGACCACCACTGCAGAAAAACTATGCTCTCTCGATGGTTTTATGTATTTTCCAGCAGCATCAGAACAGCACCTGTAAACCTCACTCTGCTGTAAGCAGTTGGTGAGGCCAATTCACAGGGAGAACAAAAGCGGCAAGGATGTCTGGGGGAAATGCTTTCCATCTTGGAAACAGAGAGGTGTACTAAATTGAGGAGAGGTTGGTGCTGAGGACCAATCTGCATTCAGCACATTTTTAATCTGGAAAGCAAGACAACATGCATGACCCAAATATAAAGAGATACGAGAATGTCAATTCAAGTTTTCTTCCTCAAATTCCTTTATGAAATGAGATGGCCGATCAATAAATTCATTCATTTCAAAATCAATTGGATGATATGTACAGAAAGTCACGTTCTGCTAAAAATTGGTTGACAATAACAGAAAAAAAAAATTGCAAAGGTTCTTTTTACACACATTTTTCACATCCAACACCTCTGGTGAAAGATGACAATATCTGTGTGAGCAAATCAGTGGAGAACAATTCTAAACCTCCCTCTTTGAAACCTTCTAATAATTGTATTCATTTTACAAAGTTACTGTAGTATACAGTGTGACAATATTTTTACAAAGGCAGCAAGTATTCTATGTACAGACTAGAATCAGAAATATCAGTTGTCTCGGCCAATATCTCACAGCCAATATAAAGCAAAATCTGAATTCTAATCACATCACTCTGATTTCAGGCTCTTTCCAGAACACACACAGCCCTGTATAGTGCAGAGTCTGTTTTTCTAATAAGAGCCCAAAATAAAATTGGCATATCATCCTGTTGCTCTCAATTGTTGTCCTTTCCTTTTCTATATGTGAACAGGTGTTAACAACATTCTCCGTCTTCATTTAGATACAATAGAAATCTCTTGCATGATTACCAATAGCTAAGGATTACTAACTTTTTGTAATGGAAAAACAAATGTATTTTTTCCCAAGTGTAAACTTTGGCAGTTTTCAAACAAATAGAAAAGTTGAAAAAAAATAGCATAATAAATACCCTTGTGAAGTTTTAAATATGTCTTGGTGACTCATGGCATTTGGCAAAGCTCAAGATCTCCTTGGAACTAGGAGCACTGATGGTCATGTCCAGGAGAGGGTGGGGAGAAAACAGTAAGGTCCACGAGGGTTTATGGAAGAAAAGAAAAAAGGGCAAGAGAGAATAAAAGAATTAGGCTATAGTTTAAGGGCATGGCATCCTTATGGTAAGGGCTAGTCATTTGACTCTAAATTAAATCACTAAGATAAGCCCTTGATCATCAAATTCCTCTTCCTGTGGATGTGTGTCTGCACTAGCTCCTAAGCAACTAGCCTGGCACTCTGAGTGACTGTCCAACTGCTACCCACCAGCCTGCTGAAGGACCCCTCTCCACCTCAGCACATTGGTATCCTTCTCAGCAACACACTAAAGGTTCAGCTTGTTTATATAAATATCCACAGCTAGTGGGTCTCTAAGAAACCACAGACCAGGCTCACTCTCACAGGTGGTTACTTCCCCATTCTGGCCAGTTCCTCTCTGTAGGCTGGAACTGAGCCCCCATAGAGGATTAAGCACCTGTTATCCAGCGGTAATGAACCCACTTTCAGGAAGGACAGATGCTTCCTTTTACACCTCTATTATGTTTATTGGTGTCAAGATATACCCATTGTGAGTTCTCAAGAGAGTCAAAAAGAACAAATGCAATGTTTTTTCTCTTTCAATTTGATCCTTGGTTTTGCAACCTTCCAAAAATAAAAGGAGTTGGATATTTTTGGTTCTTCCTATTTCATAGATGTGGAAATTAAGCTATGGATGAAAATAGATTTTTTTTGTTCAAGCAGCACACTTGAAGTATTTACAAAAATAGATCATGAATTTAGGCCACAAAGAAACTTCAATGAATTCCAAATGATCAGTAACATACAAACAATGTACTTTGGCATTATTCAATGAAATTCAAAATTTTAACAAAAGGATAACTTCCAGAATCCCATAAGTTTGGAAACTAAATAAAACAACATTTAAATCCTTGAGTTTAAAAAATATTTTACGCACATCAAACAAGGTATAGAAAGAAGGGGGAAAAAACTTTATAGTAGAGAAGGCTGGCCAACATCACCTACTACACTATGGATCGTAACCTGGAAAGACCATGTGTTGGAGGCTTGGTCCTCAGCCTCTGAGCTGGGGGAGATGGTGAATATGAGGCCTAATCGGAGCCCTTATATAATTGAGGGTGTACCCCCAAAGAAGACTGTGGAACCTCAGTCTCTTCTGTTCTTTCTTTGGCATCCTGGCTGTAAAGTAAGTAGCTTCCTCTGACACATGCTTCCACGGTGATGTGCTGCCTGGATGCAGGCTCAGAAACAAGGGGACAACTCACCATGGACTGAAACCTCTAAAACCACAGGCCAAAATAAACCCTTCCTCTTTTTAAGTCGATTATCTCAAATGTTTTGCTACAGTAATGGAAAACTGACGACCATACATCACCATAACCAAACAATGAAGGTTAAGGATCCCTGATAATTACTCATATAGATGTCACGTACTCTGATATGATGTGACAAAAAGGGTGTATCACTTCCTTTGTATTCTTCCACAAAAATTTGTAACCTCAATCTTTCATTAGAAAATACTGGACACACCCAAACTTGTAGACATTCTACAGAATATCCGACAATAAATCTTCAAATAGTTCAAGGCCATGAGGACAAAAAAAAAAAAACAGAAATTGTCACAGATTAGAAGAGACTAAAGTGATCTGACAATTTAAGGAAGGGAAAGAACAAAAGAGGGCAATTTGGAGGAGGAGAAAAGCAAGACTAGGAAGGCTTTGCCCATAGAAGGAAGAAATGAAGATTTCTGGATCTAAATTCTTATTT